TCTTTAATTAGAAAAAGAAATAATGATGAAATTAGTGAAGCAACTGAAAGACTTGAAAATTTACAAAATGCTAGAGGAAAAACAGAAAAGGATAAAGAAACACTTAGAAGACAAATTGAGGATATTCAATCACAACAACAAGATGAACAAAGACAGAGAAATGAATACGAAAGGCAATCTAAAAATTTAGGTAATTTTTAAATAAATGGAACTAACTATAATGTACCTCTTGTGATATATGTAAATATAATAGGTACCTTGGATTGGAGGTACCCCCCAGAGGTGGGTCGGAATTCCGACTTTCGATTTCCGACGTCTCTTTCCTTCCGATTTCCGAAAAAATTTTAATTTCCGAGTTCCGACTTTTGAGCCAGTTCCGATTTCCGACATCTGACTATTCCGAGTACCCCCTTGGCAACTTCTCACAAATCTTAAATATGAGCAGTGCTTTACTACTAAACATTAATCAGAAGCGATTCATAAGAGCCTCACTAGAAAAAAATTTGTAGTCTCTCCTTAGAAAACGAAATATATATGTATTCTTATAAAATTTCAATATATTTAGAATCACAAGTTCATGAACTACAAACAAGATATGAGGAACAACATAGACTTATTCAAGAATTACAAGCAGTTAAACAGCGATTACAAACTGAAAGTTCTGATCAAGAACAACAATTAGAAGAAAGCGAAACACATTTAGGGCAAATAGGGAAATTAAAAGCACAAGCTTTAGCTCAATTGGAAGAAGCTAAAAGATCATTAGAAGAAGAACATCAAGAAAGAATGGAAGCTAGTGCTCAATTAAAAGGTTTAGAACACGAAATTGAACAAATAAGAGAGGCTATAGACGAAGAAATACATAATAGAGAAGAAACTTTGAAGCATTTAAGTAAAGCTAAAGCTGAAACACAACAATGGAGAGGAAGATTTGAAGGAGAGGGACTAGTTGCTGCTGATGAATTGGAAGAGGAAAGACGTAGACGTTTAAATCAAAAATTGGATTTAAGTGATCATTTGGGTGAATTAAATTCGAAATTGGCTGCTGTTGAAAAAACTAATGCAAAAGTTGGGGAATTTATTTACTAAAAATAATTATAATTGTTTAAAGTTATTGACTGATGCAGAAGAAGCTAGGGCAGAAGCAGAACGTGCACAAACACAGATATTCCAATGGCAAAAGAAACAAGAAGCACATGAATATGTTATTAAGGATTGGCGTAGACAATGTGATGAATTAAGTTTGCAAATTGAAAGAACACAAGAAGAATGTAGAAGAAGTGTTTCTGATGTATAGATAAATTAAAAAATAAATAAATATTTTAAAATAAAAAGGTTTTTGCTTTACAAAGTGCTTCTACCTCTCTTTCTGATCAGGCAGATGAATTACGTAGAGAAAATAAAACTTTGTCATTGTCATTAAGAGATCTTCAGGTGTTGATTTTTAATTCATAATTAAGGCTATTGTTGGAAATAAATTACTAGAGACTTAAATTATTTAAAACAAGTCTGTGAGTATTATGTAGTTTAATCCGAAAATAACCCGGCAGATCATAACCAAAGCCTTATCTAATGAATAATAATTAATTAACAGTTAGAAATTTTTAAAAATATTCTTGCAAAGCTAGAGAGAGCAGAATTAAATTAGAATAGATTGAGTTTTTTTATTTAATTTCCATCCTTTTTTAGGATCAATTGGCAAATTGGCATCGAAATATGCACGATATTCAAAAAAAGATAAGACAATTGGAATTAGAAAAAGAGACACTTCAACATGCTTTAGAAGAAGCTGAGTCTGCACTTGAATTGGAGGAAGGGAAAGTGCAGAGATTGCAAACAGAAGTGAAAATAATGAATAATATTATTAAATTAATGAAATATTTTTTAAAGGTTTCCCAAATCCGTACTGAAATTGATCGACGTATTCGTGAAAAGGAAGAAGATTTTGAGGTGTTATTTTAATTAAATAAGGAGAAAGTTTAAGGAAAATAATTTTATTTTTATTAAATTACTTTATTTTCCCTAAAAGGATATGTAGTAGGTTGGAACAATAATTGTCCTCTCTCTTAATTAATTATAACTAAATATAGTAAGTATTCCTTGTAGCGATAGTTTAAAGGCATTAACCTATTTTGAATTTTTATTAGAGTAAATATGGCAATTCCTAAAATTCCATTTATTTCCCAAAGCTCTTTCATAAAAAGTAGACTCTTATTTACGTCGAATCTTGATATAGTGATCCCCGAATTAAAAAATGGAACAAACTTTTCTTCGTTTTCCTTTAATTAAAAATTAATTTTGATTTTACATTTTTGAATATTTATTCTTTATTTCCTAACAATTTTTAGAATACAATAAAGAATCATCAACGAGCTATAGAGTCAATCAGAACTTCATTAGAAAATGAACAACGTGCAAAACAACAACTAATACAATCAAAAAAGAAATTAGAAACTGACATAAATGATTTAGAATTAGCTTTAGATATGGCAAACAAAACAAATGTTGAGGCACAAAAAAATATTAAAAAACAAATTGCTCAAATACAAGAATTGCAATTACAAGTTGAAGAAGAACAAAGAAAACGTGAGGAACAAAGAGAGAATTTCTTAATGAGTGAAAGGTGAAAAGAGGGGAATTTTTGAAAAAATTACCTATTTTTATTTAGAAAATTAAATATAATAGCTAGTGAAAGGGATGAATTGTTAATTAGGAAAGAAGCTATTGATAGAGAAAAATCTCGTATAGAGGCTGAAGTACAAGAAGAACGTTCACGTAAAGGTGAATATCAAGTTGAAAATGCACAATTAAATGCTGTTAAGAGGCAATTAGATAATGATTTACAAATTGTTAAGGTAAAAAAAGAATGGTTAAATATTTTTTTTAAATATTTTTAAAAAAAATAATGAAATAATAAAAAAATAATAAAAATAATTAAACATTTTTTTAAAAATAATGAAATCATTGAAAAGGCTTTCTACAAGAAATGGGGTCTATTTCACTTTCCATCTACCGCTTTTAAAAATTTCGTCCCTGTTTCCCACCCAAACTGAACAACTTCATAGGTAGGTGTAAGTATACTGATTGTGGGAAAGATTTTTACTTTAAATTTATTATTGTTTTAATAATTTATATTTTCCCTTACATAGTAAAAATTATCAAAAACTCGATTAATCTATTACTAAAAATATGTAATTATAAAAATTATTTTTTAATATTTTTAGACAGAATTAGACAAAACATTAAATGAATTAAAAATAGCAGAAGAAATATTTAAAAAAATAAATGCCGATTTAACTCGTCTTAATGAAGAATTAAAAAATGAGCAGCATCATCACGATCATTTAGAAAGACAAAAAAGATTATTAGATTCTCAATTAAAAGAATTACAACTTCGTCTCGATCAGGCAGAAGCTACAGTCCAACGTGTCGGTCAAAGGACTGTTGATCAATTACAACAATTAATTATTGCTAGAAATAACGAATTGGATAGCGAACAAAAACGTCATAAAGAAATTATTCGACAATTAAATAAAGTACTCTTTTTTGTATTTATTTATGTGAATATTTGGATTTAAATTTTTTTAGTCAGAACGCGAAGTTCGTGAGAAACAATTTCAAGTTGAGGAACAACGTAAATGTTGCTCTAAAATGCATGAATTAATTGAAAAACTTCAAGCAAAAATTAGAGTTTACAAAAAACAAACAGAAGAGGCTGTAAGTTTTTTGTGAATTTAAAAATAAATTTACAAACAAAAAATATTTAAAGGAAGAAGTAGCGGCAATGAATTTACAAAAATTCCGACAAATTCAGTCACAATTAGACGAGGCAGAGGAAAGAGCAGATGAAGCGGAAAATTCTTTATTGCGTGTTCGTTCAAAAATAAGAGTTAATGCAACACCAAATGCTTTAACTTCAAGTAGATCTTCTGCTCATTTACCTAGAGCGGCTAGTTCTGCTTATATATCTTCTAATAATTTAGGAAAATAATTTTAAAAATTGGAAGGAATTAATTGAATATAGACTTTTTTTAATGATTATTTTAATTAAATAATTTGTAGTTTTTTTTTAATAAATTGATAATCTAGGAAATTAAATTAATAAATAAAACGTATTTAGATCTTAGGCATTTTACACTCATTTTCAAAGAGAATAATATTAATATATGTAGTAAGATAGTTCTTAAAATCAGCCGAAAAACAAAACTTGGGAACGAGTACCCGAACCTCTAGAAATTACACATTATTAACGGTATTTCATTAAATTTGCTAGTGAAAGGTCCAAGGCCATTAAAAATTAATGGTTAAAAATTTGGAGAGAAATGTAAAAAATGGTTATTTATCATTTACTGGTCACCTGATATGCTCGTTAATTTCTTTTTGCTTTTTTCCATTGATTTTTGAACTTATTTTTAATTTAGATGGTTATAAACAAAAAATATTAGACAAAAAATTAAAAATTATTATTACTTTAATTTCAAAAATAATTATAAATAATATTTTTCATTTTCTCGAATTTTTAAACTTAATTTCTTAACTCAAAAATGCAATATTACAAACCCTCTCATCTCTACATAATATTTTATTATTTTATTTTCTTTACTTTTTATTGTTTTTATTCATCATCTGGTAATTACAAATAAATACATATTTTAAAATTTTACCCAAAAAATTTCAAGCCTTTAATTGGAAATGTGCTGGGTGTAAAACTGGGGTTGAAGTAATTAGATATCTTTATAAGGTATTTTTAATTTAATTTTCGTCTTTTTATTTTTTAATTTTGTAGATGAATTACACAAAAACAGAAATTTTAAACACAGCAGAATATGTCTGCAGACATTTTGCTGATCAAGAATCTTTTGTTTGTAGAGGAATTACCTCACAATTTAAAGTCTAATTAATTTCCAAAATCTGAAAATTTTAAAATTTCCAGGACGAATTTCTTTATGTTTTGGAGAAATTGGTTTTTCAGCCAAGCCAACTCTGTGGATTAATTTTGAATGGATGTGGAAATCCAATTAATCCATTCGACACAAATTGGTAGTCTACTAAATCCTAACCTTTTCTTCCCCTTACCTTTCTTTAGGAATGTCTCTCTCCCCCCTTCTCCACCAAATTTTAAATACTTTACTAAATCGTCAAAAAATCAAACAAACAAAACAACACCTATTCGGATTTTGCAATTATCTGATATTCATTTTGACCCGGCTTATTTGGAAGGAAGTGAGGCAGATTGTGAAGAACCTGTTTGTTGTATTAAAATGCCGAAGAAAGGAGAAAGTGTAAAAAAGAAAGCGGGGTATTGGGGGACAGCAGCAAAATGTGATATTCCTCTTCGAACTGTAGAAAATTTGCTAGAACATATTAATCGAACTCATAAAGTAAGGGAATTTTTTTATTAAAAAATTTTTTCTTGAAATTATTTTTGGAGTTTTTAAACGAATATTCCTGTTTTTTGCGGATACTGTTGATTATTCTTTTAATAACTCTCATCTCATTTTATCCCTCGAATAGAAGACTTTTTGCATTTCTTTCATATAATTGTTCATAAATTTACAGCTTGATTTTGTACTTCTTTCTGGCGATTACCTTCATCACCGAGATTGGGGTAATTCTTTATTTTATCATCTAAACTTATTTAATTTTGTCTTTAAATAATCTAAGAGGTTTTTAGAATATACTCGTAAAGGACATCTATCAGCCATTGCCAATTTGTCCGCCCTTTTACAACTCCATCTTCCACAAATTCCAATATTTTGGGCTCTCGGCAATCACGAGGCTGTCCCAGTCAATGCTTTTGGACCTCACTTTGTACCTGACCAGTTTAGACCAACTTGGATGTATCGAGCTTTACTGGCTGAAGCACATAAAACAGACAAGGGTCTTTTATCAGTTGAAGCTGATGAAGATTTTGTTTAGTTAGTTTTTTCATTTCTTTTGAGTAGAGTTGGGCGGGATCGGGATCCCGGTCGGGATCGGGCGGGATTATCCCGGTTTTTTTTGAATCCCGATCCCGATTTTTCTGATCCCGAACCCGAAAGACAAATCCCGATCCCGGTTTTGGCCGATCCCGAGCCGGGATCGGGACCGGGACCGGGATCGGGGGATTAGCAATCGGATCCCGATGAAATCGGGATTTTATAATTAATGAGCTATATAAATTAATGAGCTGAAAAGAAAGCAATTTGGCTTCTACGCCATCCAAAATTTTCAAAATTTTCGCCTGCGGCGCTAAAAATGAAGATTTTGGCTTGAGAATCTTCGAAATTTTTCAAAATTTTTGCCTCCGGCGGTGAATAAGAAAAGACTCATTTATAAAACTATCGACGGAATGGATTTGAACGGATATAATGGATATCCTAGATGTCCATCTAGATCCCAATATCTCATTAATCAACGATATCCCTCTTAATCCATCAGAATCACCTTATCGTTAATACTTTATCCCTCCTCCTTAATCCCTGATACGCCAAGAACAAATGCGCGCTGGGACTTAAAATCAATATTTCAGCACAGCAGATGAAAATTATGGAATTATATTGAGGTATATGCAATGTAAATAAAAATTTAAATTTTGAAATTTTTTTTTAAATAAATCCCGATCCCGATTTTTCAATCCCGATCCCGAGTCGGGATCGGGACCGGGATCATTATTCCGAATCCCGATCCCGATTTCGTCCAATCCCGATCCCGCAGTCGGGATCGGGATCGGGATCATCATTCCAAAATCCCGATCCCGATTTTACGTCGGGATCCCGATCCAGCCCAACTCTACTTTTGAGAGACTTTGCTTCCCTCTCTCTTGCTCAACGTTAAAAGTCATTGTAAAAGTGGAATATAACAGTACTAAATATCACATTGTACCGAAATACTTTTTTATTTTTTGACATTAAAGGGGAGCGACAGTAGTATATACACGAGTTTTATTCCACTTTTTTCTTTCAAAAAAAGCAAAATAAAACCAGTGTATTTTTAATTTAATTTCTTCACAAATATTTTACTACTTAATAAAATCCAATACCTATAGATCAATTCTATATTAAAAAATTTTTTAAATTTTTCATCATTTATCCAATCTTTTAAATCAATTCCATATAAAAAATTAATTTTTCTTAATAAATATCTATTAAATACTAAACAAACATTAAGCACTATTTTTAATAAAGAAAAAGTTATTATTGTGCAAACAAAAACATTTATATAAAAAGTTATTGTTTGTGCAATTTTTCGCGCAAATAAAAAATTAATAATTTATTAATACAAAAAAGAAGTAAAACATGTTTATGTACAAATATTAATTATTGTAAATAATTTTTTTGATTTTTTGTAATTTTTAATTTTTAAATTTTTTGTGATTTTTTGTTTTTTCTATTTTTTGTAATTTTATATTTTTATTAATTCTATGGTTTTATAAAAATATGGGGTTAACATGAAGGGGTTTATAAGGGTATTAGTCTACGCCCTAAGAATATTGTTAGTTTCGCCGATTCAACAATAAATGATTTGACAGCTACAACAATATCCGTGCAAGTCTCTTTTACAAATTCCCAACCAGTAGAAAATACACTTGGTTTGTGGTACACTACTGTAAAAGTTGGTCTGTAAACCTTTTTCCATTCTTTTTCTTTCTCATCATAAATAAACCAAACATGACCAGTCGGCGTCCACGTTATATTTGTAAAATTTGAAGGAGGAGGAGGCAAGTGTAAAACATGCTGGAAAGTACTAGGTTTGGGCGTTCTTCGAAATAATGATACTTTAGCTTCCTGAACTTTCCATATTCTTCGATATTCACAATATATATTCCCAAAAAGAAAAATTAAAATAATTTTATTAAACATTTTTTAATAACAATAATATGAAATAGAACATATCACTTATATATTTTCATAAATTTTCGGATTGTTCTACAGCTTCCAGCACATCTATACATTCAATTGGGTAAAAATATTGATGCCTTCTTCCTCCAGCAACACAAATAAGTGGTAATTGCGGATACGCTAGATCAATTCGATGTCGTACGTAAAAATATTGTCTTATTGTAACGCGTAGATATCCACGTAGAGCAAATATCTGATCAGCCCCCATTTTCGTTAATTTGCACGGATAAATTTCCATCTGCTGATGTTTTAGATGATTTGTAACTAGAGCTTTCTTTCTAGGTTCAGTAAAGTTTCTTTGACCAATTCCTGAAATGGCAACATCATCATTGGTCATGCTTGTAAGTGTCTGCAAGTAATGGACATTTTCATTATATTTTTTACGTAGTTCGCGATGAAGTGATTCAGGGGCACATCCTCCATTGAAACGACAAAGTATTTGAATAAGTGGAATTAATTGAACTTGAGGTGAAGAAGGTTCAGACATGTTGTCGCTAGTACGCATAGCAAACTAATTTTAATACTAAATTTTCAGCTTATATACCAAGGGGGCCTTTGGCAAATCGAATACTTGTCATCCTATCATTTCCTTTCTTACGAATATTTGTATGTAGTTTGAATAATAAAGCCAGGATAAATAATAAACCCAAATCCAAAATATACGCTATTACAAGCAGAATATCCTTGTTTGGAGTTATAGCAGGACCAATAGAAAGTGCATGCCCACCGTCAATAGCAAAACAAGCATTCACATTCGAAGGAAAAGACACAGGAAATAGAATATCAGTTTCATTTTTAGATAATATTCCACAATACAGTGCAAATAATATTAAAATTGAAAATTTCATTTTAGTAATTAAATTCAAATAATAACCTTTATCTTATATACGAAAGGCGTTGTATGAATCGTCTTAATAAAGCGTCACGGGCTTCTGAGGGAATTGAATGCAAAATTTGTAGTGTTGATGAAAAATTATTTTTTGAACGCAACACAAGGAAATATATACAATAATGGCCACAGGTATCTGACAAAGGGGATTGCAAAGGAAATTTATTTTGTTTTACTGTAGAAAAGCTGCCAAGAATAGATTGTCTCATATCACAATTCGGTTCATTTGCAAAAGTGTCAAAATATTCCACTGTACTCGGATTATCAGAATAACAGGCAACCCAATGTTCGCCAACTGTCCCTTTACGCATATTATTTACAATAAAACAAAAAGGCTTTGTCCATTTTATATTTGGAATATTGTCAGAAGAAAACACACCAAGAAACTTATTCTTTAGAGGATTATATTTTTTAAGTATATTTTCTATTTGGAGAGAATTCATTTTTAAACAGATCCATCAGTACTTAACACGCGATCTGCATTTATGGACATTATTGCATCGAATTCGCCCATGATTATCATTTCATATCCTTCATCCTTTACAGGCTGATTGAACAAGCAACGGACGGTTGTTGTTCCTTGTCTGATGAGTTCCAGTCCGTTAGTGTCTTCAAGCGTCGAAGTCATAGGTATAACAAAGAAACAAGAAGATTGCGAAAATTCCTTCATCCCTATACTTAAAGTTCTTTGATCAGAATTTGGCCAAGCATCTAAGTCCATACCTACATACATATCAACAAAAGCACGCACAAAGCTGTCATTCGAAAAATCAAGATCATATGGCACCGCGGGAAACTGGAAGCCGCCAAATTCTGCTGAAACAGTTCGCAGGTTCGCATGCTCAAATGTGAACGGTGACAACGCAGTATTTCCAGTATATGCAGGCGAGCTTACAAAACAAATCACTAACCGTCTCGGACACGTACTTGTGAACGCGGCATGTGTAATTTCCTGGCGACCTTTTCCAAGAAAAACGCTCCTAATTTCAATTTTTCTATAGGCGTATTTTGCAGGAGACTGTTCTAAATGTCTAGCAATAGCATTATTTAGTGACATACTTAAATCAACTTGTTTAACAAAAATTCTCATATCATGAAGGCGTAGGCGGTATGTGCTTGTATTATTTAATAATTCTTCACCAGCTTTTTTGCGATATTTTGGAGCATGAACAAGAAATTCATCGGTATTTCTGTAAAATGTCCAAAGCACATCACTATTAGGAATCAAAAGCTGATTTTGTCTTGCAATATCATAATCCAAATGGGAAAGTAATCTGCAAGTCTGACCATTAGCAAATCTAGATGCCCGCGATTTAAATCCTGAACCTTCAAAATCATTCTTATCAACTGCATCCTTATAATAAAGTGCAGCTTCATAAAGACCTTTGCTGACCTCTCTATCTGATCCTAGCTCATGTAGAAGTATACATCTGTATGCATAATGGATTCCCGAGTCATAGCACTGAATACCATTAATAGATAGAGTTAAACGACGAATCCAAGTTAAACCCAAATATTGAGCAACACTAGTAAAACTATCCCCCGCGAAATTTCCTGACAAGTCTTTAACAATTGGAACCCATTCACCAGTTGCATCAACCTTACGTTCAAGAGATAACACAAGGCTCAGATATGTTTTACTTAAATCTAAGTAAAGGGAGTCACCAAAATAGCGAAAAATAAACGGACCAGCAGATTGATTAAGTGCATTGAGAGGAAGCAATTCTTTATACGCAGAACGCTGAATACCAACATTTGTTGACGGTATAGAAAAGAAGGTTAGGCGATTATCAACCCCTTCAGTACTGTCTTTGTCAATTTTCTTAATAGTCGTCATTTTATTATAGAATAATAATAAGCTAATACTTATATACTCAGATATCATCAAA